TTCCCTCCAGGTGCAGAAGCACCATAGGAATGTTAGTGCTGGAGCCGTAGGCTGCTTTAATGGAGTATTTTGGCTTTGCCTTCAGCCTGTTATCCCAAGAATAAAAGGACGTGAACAGGAAGCTTCATGCATACACACGGGATCCTTTTCTCATCTGCTTGAGACTGCCTGTCAGTCAGAGGCTGTCGTCCTCTTTTCATCTTGATTTATCATTGAGCATAACTAGGTTTCAGAATTTTCGTTTGTGTCTTACTTCCTCCCAGGGACAGGTAATAAATCTAATATATGAACATTTAATTCTCCAATTTCAGCAGCCAGGACAGGAGAGAGACACTGTTCCACTTCAGTGGCCAAGAAAGAATACAGCTGCTGGGGAAGCATTGCTAGCGAGATCTATCTGTGGTCGGGACTTCAGTAGGGGAGTCTCCCAGTTCACCCAGCCAGCCCATGCCCCTCAACGGATGGGAGATGGGTACGCTATGAGCCACTGGAAAGGGTTGCACTCCTACATTGTGCCCACGCCAAGATAGAACATTTCATTTGAGAGCTTCTTGCAGAGCAGAAGCACTTCTGCTTTGACAAGCTATTGCTAGATTTTTAACCCCTCTTGTTAGACTTGCTTCACTGGGATAGCCGTGTCCGGAAGAGAATTCATTTAGGCAATGCAGCCATTCTGTCGAACATAATAGCTTGCTCTTCTCTGCAGTCTTCTATCCAAGGTTCTCCGAACACTTCAGAAATGTTGCACCAGTAATTCTAGCAGATTCTACAATCTCCACTGTGGGTGGCCTTGCGCTGAGGAACCCCGTCATTCCCCGGGATCTGATCCAAAGCCCATTGGTGTCAGTGGAGAGCCGTTTCATTGACTGTGTTTTAGATCAAGCCCTAGACTTCCCAGCTTAACAAAGCATGGCTTTCTTATAAAGGAAGTCACCAGTTTCTCCTGATCTTGCCAAGGACTGTGGGGTGAACAGCAGAATCACTGGAGTAGGCTGACATGGGCAGAATGTGAAAGTGGGGGGCTGTACACTGAACCCTAAAAAAGTAGGGAATCAACTCAGGTTCTGCCTCCAGCAGTTTTTATTCTAATCCAGAAAATCTTAACGTTCCAGAAGCAAGATGGAGAGTTGTTTCTTTTTTGTCTCTGAATTGGAAGCAGCCACCTAGCCTCCTTCCACAGCGTGGTGTTTGTGTGCATGCAGGTCACCTGCATAGAAAGCTGTGCCAGGTCTCATGTGGCCCATCTCTGTAACAGGCATGGAGTGTGGAGGCAGGGGTACTGGTGGGGATTGACTCTGACAGGTTGCACAGTGGAAATGTGATCCTGCACTGCTCCCCTGCTGTTAGAGCATATACTGGAAACAGAAGCTAGCCTGCAAGGCTCTACTGCTAGAGTCCCGTGTGAATAAAGCACCTGGCGCTCCGGTCCACACAGAGCAGCTGAGTAAGGCTACCATTCTGCTGTACAAAGACTCTGAAAAGGGGTGCAAACTCTGAGGCTCACCAGGGAGTTCAGCTGATCTTGCTGTGCATTGTTGAATGAGAGCTGATAGGTCAGCTCTTGACTGAGCAGAGATGGTAGAGATTCGCACTCACTCTTCAGCGGGGAAAGAGGTGCAGGGCTCTTGCAGTTAAAAATAGTTAAGATGTGACAGAGATACAAGACTGGGCTTCATGAGTCGAGCACTTCTCCCAAAAGAGAGAGAAATGTCCTCTATTTGCATTTCCCAAGCAGTGTAACCTGTCTGGCTCGTTCGTTCCTTAACCTTGTGTCCTCTCCTTTCTCGCTTTTCCTTTCCTGTTCCTGTCAGTCTGTCCAAGCTCACTGTCAGCTGTGCTGAGTATACTCAGTGTCCTGAGGCAGGCTCTGGATGACTTGAAGGTCTTTCTGCTTTTACTAGAGTGGCTAACAAGCGTTCTGGAGTCTTTCTCTCAGTGGTAATTTGGGGAGAGGGAACACTTTACCAGAGAACTAGAAAGGCCCTTCCTGTGATGATTGCCTTTGGGTTTGTAATGCATCTTTTTCCTTGGCTCAAATTAGAATTGGAGCAAGTGTGTAAATACCCAGCTCTGAATCCCCCCAGCTCTCTCCACTAGGTCCGGTCTCAGGGATGGATGTTGTGCCTGGTATTCCAAATGTGACCTTGCTCCAATAATGCTTTTATGTAATAGGTCTGGTGTAACAGCCAGTTTATATTCTAGACCCCCTGCGAAATTATCAGCCAGTGTTGTCCTTTTTCACTAGGGGATGAAAAATCTGAAGTGGGTAGCTCATGCGGCCAATAAAATGCTAACTGCAGAGGGGTGGATTGAAATGCATCATGGAGTCTGATAGGGCCCTACCAAATTCACGGTCTATTTTGGTTAATTTCATGGTCATAGGATTTTTAAAATAGTAAATTTCATTATTTCAGCTAATGTGAAATTGTATGGTGATGTAATTGTAGGGGTCCTGACCCAAAAAGGTGTTGTGGGGGTGGAGGGTCGCAAGGTTATAGTAGCGAGGGGGTTGTGGTACTGCTACCTTTACTTCTGCACTGCTGCAGGCAGCAGCGCTGCCTTCGGAGCTTGTCAGCTGGAGAGCGGCGGCTGCTAGTCGGGATCCCAGCTCTGAAGGCAGAGCCGTCGCCGTCAGCAGCAGCGCAGAAGTAAGGATGGCATGGTACGGTATTGCCACCCTTACTTCTGCACTGCTGCTTGCCGAGCTGGGCCCTCAGTCAGCAGCCGCCACTCTCCAGCCGTCCAGCTCTGAAGGCAGCAGCCTAGAAGTAAGGGTGGAACGCTATGGTATTGGCACCCTTACTTCTGCGCTGCTGGCCGGGTGCAGCCTTCAGAGCTGGGCGCCCAGGCAACAGCTGCCACTCTCCGGCCACCCAGCTCTGAAGGCAGTGCAGAAATACGGGTGGCAATACCACGATTGCCCCCTAAAATAACCTTGTGACCCCCCTCCCCCCGCAACTCCCTTTTGGGGAATCACCCCCAATCTGAGAAACTCTGGTCTCCCCCTGTGAAATCTGTGTGTAGTATAGGATAAAAGCACACAAAAGATCACATTTCACAGCCCGTGACACGTTTCATGGCTGTGAATTTGGTAGGGCCCTACTGATAGAGGGTCGGTACAAGGGGGGCACTATTAAAGAGGGAATGAAACTGTGTGCTGTAGGGTAATAGGTGGATAACTAGGTACGATAAAGGATTAGGTGGGTAACTGCTTCTGATACGGGATGAAGTGGGTAATGTGTACCCTATGAGTTTAGGAGTCGTCATCGTCCTTGGGTAATGAGTCTATTGCATTAGGCTCTCTGCAGTAGGGTACGTATCAGAGTTTGGCCAGTACAATGGGTAAATGGATGTTTTGGGGTGTTAGGCCCAGTTACTGGCACACTTAGTGCCAAGGCTCGTTTGGATACTGGGAAGTACAATTGCCCCTGGCTTAAGAGAAAAGACGTTACAGTTCTGTATCAGTGGAAGCTTTGGATGAAGTTGATCTGTTCCCTTCTATGGACTGGATAAATCAGAGTGCTTGTGAATTTATTCCATAAACATCAAATATTTCCTTAGATCTACTCCCACCAAGGGGTCATCAGCAACACAGAACAATCTCCAGGCGCTGGTGGGTGTAGGAGGCATTACAGTTGCTGAACAAATGAGCATCCTTGTTCCCCCTACAGCAGGCACCCAGCGTTTTTAGCACACAGATGGCCTACCTGCTTTGGGATGCTCCACGTGGAGACTTGCTGCTTTCGTTTGTCTGCTGTTTTATTTGACATTCGAAGCTGTCTGATAGGAATGTCAGCATTTTACTTTATTTTTTGATTACCTGGTAACTCACCGCTGTGCTTTAGGCCTCTCAGCCAATGCCGGAGACAGAGCTGTACAAGAGCCAGGGCAATTGTCTTCCCAGTCGTTACCAATCTCAGATTGAAAATACTGTCTTTCATTGTCAAGCAGGCAGAGCGTTTCACCCTTCGGTAACTCAGCCAGTGACCAGCTTTCCCAGGCTTGCAGTGACTTCCATAATGTCAGGATGTGGTTCTTACTGTGCCTATTGCTAGGCTGCTGTTCCTTGTACGTGGCTAACTGTTTTTAGCCCAGGTTCTACTGCTAGAGTGATAAAGGCTTCATTTCCTGCCTAGACTTTAACCCAGCCGTTCATATTTCTTCTTGTCCATAGCAAGTACCTTGTTTTGACAGGCTAGTCAAATATCATTAGTTGGGTTTTTTCCCATTATCCGGGTAAAGGGCAGGTAAATGGATTTTATGCCTGGAACTGATGAATTTTAATAGTATTTTTTCAATGCTGCTTTAGTCTCTCTCCCCACTCTGGGATTAGCAGTAGACGGCCTGTTCTTCCTGCCCAAGAAATAGCCAGTGCTTGTGGTTGTTCCACCCACTTTCCCGGGTGATAGCAGCTGTGTGTTGCACTATCCCCAACACACACCCTGTAGGCTAATGCTTCAGGGACCTCAACTAGCAAGTCACACGAGTGGCATCGGTGTCTGTGGCCAGGTTTAGGATCTTGCCTCCTGCACAGAGTAATCTCTCTCAAATACCCTTTAGGCTAACTTTGTAGGTGGGGATGTTTGGAAGGTGTTTAACATACCTCTGCAAGGTGGATAGGAAGAGAGACCCTGCAGTGAAAAGGTGATGAATGACAGCAGTGTTGGACTTCGTAGAGCACAGGATGCCCATTTCCTGAGAGAGGGTGATGGTTAGATATACTTGCTAAAGACCAAGTCAGAAGGCTGTTCCCATATGAATTCTCTCTGATGTACAGCCTCATGTTGAAAGCCAATAAAGTGGTAACTCCCTTGTATATTCCTCCTTGATATGCAGTGCCACATTCTCCACAGGGAAGTGGTTTTCCTTATCTCCTGAGCTGTAGACATGTAGCGAGATCTAGTGCAGAGATTGTGCTACCAAGGAGAGCTGTGTTTGGGAGCCTGGATGCTGGCATGGCTTACCATAGTGTCTCTCTCTCTGTCTCTCTTGTTTTGCAGCTTTTGTCGTCATGATTATTTTGGCCCTCATCCACATCGGCAAGGGTGAAGGGGAAGGTCACCCACCCCTGGCGCAGCTCTCGGGGATCCCCAACCTCTTTGGGGTGTGTGTCTACTCCTTCATGTGCCAGCACTCACTGCCGTCCCTCATCACTCCAATCTCCAAGAAGCAACATGTAAACAAACTGGTGCTGCTGGATTACATCTTAATATTGGGTTTCTACAGCCTCCTGTCCTTCACGGCCATCTACTGCTTCCGCAATGAGACCCTCATGGACATGTACACGCTCAATTTCACCAACTGTAATATCACCAACATCGCCTTCATTCGTTACTTCCTGGGCCTCTTTCCTGTTTTCACTATCAGCACAAACTTCCCAATCATCGCTGTGACCCTGCGGAACAACTGGAAGACCCTCTTCCACCGGGAAGGTGGGACGTACCCATGGGTGGTGGATAGGATTGTCTTTCCAGCAATCACTCTGATTCCCCCTGTGCTGGTGGCTGTCTGCACACACGATTTGGAGTCGTTGGTGGGCATCACGGGAGCCTATGCTGGCAATGGGATCCAGTACATCATCCCAGCTTTCTTGGCCTACTGTAGTCGGAAGGACACTCAGCTGATCTTCGGCAGTGGCACAGTCAATAATCATCTGTCCCCTTTCCGGCATATCTTCTGGATCTGGTTTGTGCTGCTCTGGAGTCTTTTCTGCTTTGTGTTTGTGACTGCAAATATCATCCTGAGCGAGACAAAACTCTGATGATGGGGCAGCAGCGCTCTTCATCCAGGGCTCTGGAGGAGATTCCAGGATTTCAGCTCTTGTTTCAGACTCAGTCATCAAAAACCCAACAACCTGGTCTTCGAAAGCAATCGGCTTGTTGATGCAGGTTTGATCTGGATGTCAGGACTTTCTATCCCCTCTTCACTTTGGGTGCTGATGTAACTTGCTCAACCTCCTTTTGATTCAGGTTCTCATGCGAAGCCAGGGTTGGGAGCTCTCAGAAGGCCTCCCTGGTTATTCAGTGTCTGACCATTTCTGCCTTGAGTTGGGGGAGCTCCATTACAGAGCATCTTCCTCTCTGTCCAGGAGCAGCCTCCTTACGGTGCTGCAGGTTTCAGCACATGGAAGGCTGTCTGGACTGCATCCGCTCCCCATGAGAGCTGAACAAATATCTCTGCCAGAGACAGGGAACTGTTATAACTGCTAACACAATCCAACAGCAGTTCTCTGGAGTGATCCACTTACCCCTCACCAAGGAAGTAGCAGACTTTTTTGTTTTCTGTTAAAGAATTTCAGGTGCATGGTGAGGGAGCCGGTTAACTAGGGATGACAACTGGTGGCATGTCTGGAGGATGGGTGAGGAGACTGTAGAAAGCAATGGGCTTCTATGTGGATACTATGACTGATCCTGTTACAAGTCTTTCTCACAGTTTCTCCATTTCTGTTACTACCTTTTCAGAAAACATTGGCCTTTGTTTTATTTGCAGTGTGGTCTATGGGGTAGAAGTGTGGACTCAATGGGTCTGGATTAGCTCATTTGCCTGTTCGATAAGATTACACCAACACTTGGTCCTGGAGTTCTGCTCCTAACTGCTTTTTCTGGTTGCCTTAACTCTCCCTCCCAAGGCAAACCCATTCTACGGGGCTCTGGATCCCAGTCTCTTCCTCACTTCGTTAGCTCTTTGGTGCTGCTAAGTGGCATCAGCTGTCAGAGCAGATCTCACAAGTGCTGAAGCAGCAGGGCAGACTATGGACACAGCAGTCAGGATTTGTGTGGCCTTGGGAGGTGCTAATTACCTGTCGGTGACCTGCATTAGACCCTCAAGAGCACTTGCTGGGCATACTGACATTTCCAGTCTCTTGCTTTGGGTAATTAGCCTTGAAACTCAGGGGAGAATGTAGTGCCAGCTGGAGAATTCAGCAGTGCCCCACTCACTGTGCCTGTCTCAGAGAAATAGCGCTCAGAAGTATAAGCAGAGAGAGTAAAAATATGGAGGAACTCTGGAAATGGTCCATAACGCTATTATCCTGCTTCTAACTTCTCCCTCTGCCTAGGGTTAAGAATTTTTCTTGCATCCGTTTGTGACAGAGTTTAAGAATCATCTGCCCTCAAAAAATTCCACTTAACACACCTTACCCCAGCTTACAGGCTGAGAGACACTTCTCTTCTTGCAGGAGAACTGTCTGTTGTATTGGATACCGACAGTCTTTTGATTAATTCTGTGCTGTTGGGGCTACTAACGCTCTCACTGCAAAGTGACCCGTGTATTACTCTAGCAAGCTGAGGGCCCAGGGTCAAAGATCATACAATAAAGGCTTTCATCCCAGGAAGCAGAACGTTTACTCTTAAACTTTTTACCTTAAATATTTTAAAACATTTCCCCTCGCTGTGATTAAGCCAGGTTCAAAGACAGCTGCCAGTCTCTAGCATTATATACTTCGCCAACGGTAAGCTTGGGCATGCTGTCTTTTTTTTTTTTTTTTTTTAATGAAGCTTTCTTTTTAATACAAGTTTCAGGTTTCTACGTGACATGAAGCATTTCCTGCCATGGAAACATTCAAGGTGGCTGGGGCTGTGCAAAAGCAGCTTTCTTTTAAAAGCAGGAGGGGGGAAAACCCCTCACCCCCTTAAGCGATGCAAAGATGTCCTTGAACATTGTGTAAACCAGGATGTGCCAGTTGGGTGGGGGGAGTTGGTTCCAGCATAATAAACCTGACATCCCCTCTCCTCCCAATTATAAACAGTATTTGGAAGCCCTTGCTGGTGCATCACTCAGCTAGCTACGTGGCCCTGAGTGCTACAAGGAAGCTGATATGGCTCTTTTGGTGCCAGGTTACTGAGTGGGCTGTGAGAGTGAATTGTTCAAAAGCACAGAGAAACAGTTTGGAGGGCAAATCCGTAGTACAGCTGAGCTCGGAGCCACCTGCGGGGAGTAGTGAAGGAGTTTGCACCTGCTTCCTTCGGTTGCTCATTCTCACGGTTGTTATGTCTGACAGCCAGGAATGGGACAGATCGCAGACACCATGGCAGGGCACATTGGGCCCTTCGGTTCTTGTACAGCACAGGGGCAGGCACTGGTAGGAATAGGTTTTGCACATTTGCAGCAAAGAAATGAGCCTGTGAAAGACCTTAGAATGGATGGAAATGGTACATGGCACAAGGCTCCTTTTGGTAACTGGCTTCGAGGGTCTTTCTATCCATCTCAATCCCTCAAAGCAGTGAGCTGATTTTCTTGCCTTGTGTCCCACAGACAGCACCACACCACGTCCCCAAGTGTCCAGAAGCTAACAGGCAACTTTAATTAGCCATTTATTCCTTCTCTGTTCCAGGGCTGCCAAATGCTCAAAGACCCTGCTCTCCTTTTTCCTCGCCCACCCTTGGCCTGTCCAGGTCAGGGAGCAGAGTTGCTAGCAAACCTCTGCTCTGAGAGTGAGCCTGTCTCCACCAAGCACTCTCCTTGGTACAGCTGCAAACATCAAGCTCTGTATAGTGTGCAGAAGCTGCTGGCCCGGAGCCTGGGAACTGGGCCTGAGGCAGCATAGCTTGGTTCATGATCTTATGGCAAGCGCAGTCTAGGACTGCAGTGACCCTCCCACCACCAGGAAATTTCCGCTTTCCAGCCCAAAAAGGTCCGGGAGTGGTGTTTGTCAAAGCACAAGTGCATGGTGTCCTGTTTTGTACTACAAACCATGGTACTGCTTCCCTTTTTCCCACTAACCCCTTCTTGCATGGGTACCTGAGATTCCACAGCTGTCTGCCTTCTGACGGGCAGAATTAGTTTTAATGGACTTCAGTTACAGTGTGCCTTTTCTTCTCTGGCTTCGATGAACTCTCCTCCTGAGAAGCTTCCTTTGGAATGCTGCACAAGGGTGGTTTCCGTGGGGCCCCTTTGTAAGCTGTGAACAGGTATAAACCAGCCTTGATCTGAGATGTAGCTTAACAGCGAGGGATGTCTGGCTCATTGTAGAATGGGTGTCTTGCCTGGCACCTCACCAGGGAATGCTCTCCTTGCTACACGTGAAAAGCAACATTGGAGAGACTTTCCAGACACCTGCTGTCCTCAATCAGTGAAAGAATCAACCCTCCCAATGGCAGACACTCCACAGTGAGGAAGGCGGGGGAGAACATTTTTCATTTAAAATGTGAAACAAGAAATGCCTCAAAAAGTTGAAGGAAAACAGGGAGTTGGATGGATGAAGCCAGAGCAAATATCTCGGCTTGGTCCCTGCCCGTCTCATTAGATGCAGAGCTAGCAGGGGGCAGAAGGGGTCCAGTTGCTGTCCTGGCTTGGTGTGGCATGATAACTCGTCTCCTGTCTGGTTTAAGAATGAGATATTTTTAAATGGCTATTATGACAGGGGTTTGTTTTGATCCTCACCACGCCGTACTCAGCTTGTCCCAGCGTGTAATTATTTCTCCAAAAGGCATACAAATAAAACGCACATTCTGCATCTCTCTTGCTTTGGCCTTTTCTTGTGTGCATAAGGAACGATTTGTCCTGGTGGTGGCTCCACTATCTAATCAGTCCATGGGAGCAGCGGAAGGCTGGGAGGTGGCAGAAAAAGAGGGCAGGGGTGGTTGTGACAGCTCAGAGTAATTGAGGCCCTAGTCTGTCCCAGTGTATTAGCCTCCTGCATCTCTAGATGTTCTCTGAAAACTCAATTAAAACATCTGTACTGTACCCTTCTCAATTATATTCCCTTACGCTCAGAACTAAACAAATTGAATCATTCCATCGCCTCTGGCAGCAAATGAAATTTCTGCTGGCAAATTTATTAGCGTCATAAAACCCAGCTTGATTTATGTGAAAATATTAGAACACATCCTTACGATGGAAATAAACACTTTCTCCTCCCATGATTCTCTCTAAGGATTCAACAGACAGTGGAGGAATTTTTTGGCTGGACTGTAAATCTGAAATCAAAGTGGCATTAGGGATGGATTCAATCTTCTGCCGCACTTCAAAGAGCAACAGCAACGTGTGGGGGGGGGGGTGGCGGGAAGGGAGGCTGAAGTATCAGACAGGCTTGGGACAATGTTACCTTTTTAATTGAATGCTGGTAACCAGTGAGTGCCACTGAGACAGCCCCGGAGGGTGAAGTCCTCTTTCCACCATGTAGCTATGGCATGGGCATCAGCAGCAGCACAAGCTTCGTTCCTGTGGAGCATCAAATCTGCCTCTGCCCTGAGCTGGGGAAACCACTATCAGAGGGCATTTTAGTCTCCATGACCATTTAATCTCTGGCCTCTCTGTGGAAGATGCCAGTTGTGGCAGTGTTTGTGATGTGAATGCTTGTCCACTATAGCAACCAGCAGGAGGCCAAACCATTTCACACAGGCTACTGAACAGATGCTACGTACTAATGACTTGCAGCCACTACTAACCAGGACCAGATTAGAACCAGTGTCCTAGAGGTAAAAAGTTTCATTTCTCATAACTGTTCCGCCTCCCCCCCACCCCCGCACTTCATTTTAGCAGGTCTGATAATGCCTCCTTCCTTTGGCTGTAAACCTGTATGGTATAACCCTAATCACAGACGTGTAAGTTCAGTGGAGTCTGTGATGACCTGTAAGCTTCTTTTGTTGACCGAGTATTTCATGCCAGTCACAAATACACTCTGTTCCCGTGCTAGGGCATTCCGGCTTGTGGCTCAGGTACGGATGCTCCTGTTCTAGCCCAGACTCTTGCAAGCTGGCTGTCGCTCCAGAAGCCTTTATCATTTTTCAGACCTGGCCCCGGGGACTGTGTTTCTTATGATACATTTCACACAGATGCAGAATTCATTTTAACTTTCAAGCTACTTGGCGCAGGGAGCGTTCTCAGTGGTCGGTGAACAGTCCAAAGGGCTGGATTGTTAGCTGGAAGTCAACGCAGCTGGACTCTGCATTTTTTACCTATGGCACTGGCCATTATCCTGGCCAAGGCAAGACCTTAGCAGTTGAGTAAATCCAGAGGGTATAATGGGGGAAGACATAGGGGCCATTCTGCAGTGCCTGAAAAATGCTAGAGTGCTACTTCCTCCTAGCAGAACTACATCCTTTGAAGTGCCTTGTCGCAGAAACCTGTTTCCTTTGGTTAGCACCAGCTTAGCAGGTTCTCAAGAACCTTCTGCACTAAAGCTCCCATTCCCTACGAATAACAAAAACCTGAGTCTTCCCCCATTGAAAGCAGGAGGGATAAAAGTTAATTAGAGGGGGAAAGGTTTCAGAGTAGCAGCCATGTTAGTCTGTATTCGCAAAAAGAAAAGGAGGACTTGTGGCACCTTAGAGACTAACCAATTTATTTGAGCATAAGCTTTCGTGAACTACAGCTCACTTCATCGGATGCATAAAGTGGAAAATGCAGTGAGGATGTTTTATACGCACAGACCATGAAAAAATGGGTGTTTATCACTTCAAAAGGTTTTCTCTCCCCGCACCCCACTCTCCTGCTGGTAATAGCTTATCTAAAGTGATCACTCTCCTTACAATGTGTATGATAATCAACAAAAGAAGCTTACAGGTCATCACAGACTCCACTGAACTTACACGTCTGTGATTAGGGTTATACCATACAGGTTTACAGCCAAAGGGGGGAGGGTAGGAAAAAACAAGGGGAAATAGGTTACCTTGCATAATGACTTAACCATTCCCAGTCTCTATTCAAGCCTAAGTTAATTGTATCCAATTTGCAAATGAATTCCAATTCAACAGTCTCTCACTGGAGTCTGGTTTTGAAGTTTTTCTGTTGTAACTTAGGCTCACTGCATTTTCCACTTTATGCAACCGATGAAGTGAGCTGTAGCTCACGAAAGCTCATGCTCAAATAAATTGGTTAGTCTCTAAGGTGCCACAAGTACTCCTTTTCTTTTTTTTTAGATGGGGAAAGTGAAGACAGAAGGTAGCTGACAGCCAATGCCAGGTGGTTAATGGTAGCACTATGCCAGGACTATCAGGTTACAATTACTGCTCTTTGAAGGTGGAGCTTTGAAAGACGCGGGGGGGGGGGGGTTTGGAGGTTTCAAAGGCATCTGTAGGTACAAGCAGAGTCTCAAGGGAAAGGGGATGATTTCCTAAACAGTGAAGGAAAACAAGCCTAGTCTGATAGCGCCTTTGGATGGAAATTGATAGAGGCTGACAGTAGCACTTGCCATCTTCAAAGCCCTCTGCAAAGCATATTAGTTTTGCTGACTCCCTTGTTAGGCAGTTAAGGACTTAGCCTCACTTCACAATACAGAGAGATGAAGTGATACTTCAGCCAGCAGCAGAGTTGAGGTGGGAGTGAGGCCTTCCGGTCCTTGTGCAAAGCCCACGACGCCGTGTCGCAGTGTTCAGGATATAACAGACGGCTCCCGCTGACAGCCCTCCCCTTAACTGTCATTCCAGGTGCCATCTACAACAGTGTCAGCTCTATCGAGGTTTACCTGCTGGGGGGGAGAAGGGTAAGTGCCTCGTATCTGTGAACTCATACTGGCACAGAGAGAAATCCTGTCAGGTGTAGGCCAGCTTCCTATTCACACAGCTGGCCAACTTGCCCAAATAGATGCGATTTGCCACGGTCATTCTGATGGTTTCCAGCTCCCGACAGTTCTCCCCACTCATTCTTTTCTACCTCTTTCAGCCCTATTTCCTTCTAGATCATACCTGCTGAGCCTCAGCAGGTTTCTGTTTGTGGCATGGCTACTTACCACCCAACCACTGCGTTTGTACTGAATAGAAATCTGAAATCCGTGTTACCCCCGTCCTCCACGCTACTGTTTTACTTCCTGCTTCTTCCGTCTTAGTCTGAGGAACGCTGAATCAGGAGATGAGTACTCCAGCACCATCCTGGCAGCATTCTCCTCTCTCCAGCCAGGAGATGTTGTTTTATTCTTCTTAATTTTATATATGATGGCCGCCTGTAGGAGCCCTAGTCATGGATCAGGAGACCATTGTGCTAGGCACAGTACAAACAGGACAAAAACATGGCCCCTGCCCTGAAGTGCTCACAATCTGGAGAGCAGCCAATAGGCCAGGTTCCAGCATATTGTTAGCCAAAGCTTCACAGCAAATCAGGGGCAGAGCTGTGAAAAGAACCCAGGAGTCCTGCCTCCTGCTGTTAACCATAGAATAGTGCTGGGCAGTGATATACAAATAATGCACATTTCCTCTTCCATGCCAAGAGGTTTTCAGCAGACATGTCAAACCCGTAGAAAAAACGCAGAAATTGGGCTTGTTTTTGGCTTAATTGGCTTGTGAGTTGCTTGTAGCTTGTTTAGCTTGTTGCTTGTTGCGTCTTTTTTTTTATTGGCTCCCAGCAAGCAGGGGCAAGGGGGGCGGGATAGAATCGGAGTGCACAGCGGGCCCACCACAGTCCCAGACTGCACGCTGGGGAGATCTAGTCACACAGAGTGTTGGGGTTCTTAGGGATTGGCTTGTTTTGGCCTTGTTTTGAAATGGGATAAGCTTAATTTTTGTCTTGTGAAAGCCGGGGTTCTTGTTTACTGTGTGAAAGTTGGCAACTGTGGTTTTCAGCTACATGTGTTCTACTGTGCTTTGGCTCATCACTGCCAAGGCCCTCTTAACATCTCCTGCCCACGAAACATACATTTCAGTCTAACATGCAGAGGCCTTGGTCCCAGGGTCAATAGGAAAAGGATATTATCACAGCCCTTTTTTTGGAGGCAATGCTGACTCTCTGAAACTCTCCCAGGGTCTCTGTGATAAAAGATGGTCTAATCTGAGCTCATTCTAAGAACTGCTCAGAGGCCTACAGTCCCAAGGGCTTATGAAACTACAGCAGTGTCAACCTGCCTTTGGCTCAAATGGCATCTGTATGCATGGACAGGGAGTCTGACTTTTCCAAGCAGTGCTTTAATTAGATTTTTTTTATGCAAATAAACCCTTAGATCACTTAAGCAGCATCCTTAATCGAAATTTCAATATTTGTCCAAGGTCAGCTAGTACCTTCTGAATTGTCCAGTGAGTTTTAATTGAAACACAAACATTCTTCTGTTTTCTCTCATTTCATTTCTTGCATTAAAGTTAGTTTAAAGAGTTTGTTGGAAACCCAGTCCAAGGTGCTGTAGCTGTAAGAATCAAGGATGCTCATCCCCTTTAAGAGTTGTTGGTATGGATTTTTGACCCTGAACAAATAGTTTATAGAGAATGTTAATAAAGTATTGGCTTTACCCCTTAACTTTTCAAAACGAGGAGAGAAGTATACTCCCACGATTACAAGAAGGGGGACTGGCATGCTAGGGACTCCTGGGTTCTATTCCTGGCTCTGCCACTGACCAAATATGACCTTTCACCTCTCTGCCTCAGCTGGAGCTGGAGTCTGATTGTGTCTACACTGTACCCCCCCCCCCAAAAAAAGTGTTCTTAACTCAGGTTAAAATAACAGTGAAGATGGGATGTGACTCTGCTTTTCAAGCTGCTAACTCCAATTAAAAGCTGGATTGCTGTGTCTTCACTCAGGTTAAAATAAGAGTTAGT